ACCATAGCATAGAGCAGAAGGGGTGGAACCACTCGGAACAGACATGGGCAAAGTCTGGGACAGTTGACATCTGGAAGGCACAGCCTCTGCACACGCAGTCATTTTAGGCAGAACTGAAACCAGAACCATGTGGAAAGAACCAGAACATTCACTTTTTTTTTTTTTTACCCCCTTTTTTGGGGGGGAGGGAAGAAGCCCCACAAGCACACAGTGGTGTGCAACAGCTTCAGCCATGGAAACCTGAGCTGGAGCCAGAGCCTGGCTCACATCCGGGCACCTGAACTTGACCAATTTTGGCATTTCTATCAGAAAACAAACTGGGTCTGGAGAAGCCGCTTCCAGGCTTCTTCCACTTCTCCCCAAACTTCACACCCAGACCCACAGCCACAGGAGCCCAATGTCAAGGACCAACAAAAGAATCTTCAGGACAGGACGTGACACCCAACGCCATCATTCTGTGCAGCTGAGGGATGGGTGACTCATGGGCTCATTAAGAAATTAAACCCGTGCACGAAAACCAACCTTAATGAGGAGCTCCTCTGCTCTGCGTGTATCCGCTCCGATGTGAATCCGAGCACGGATCGCTCTGAAGTCCTCTATCCCCTTTTCTCTCAGATTTCTTCAGCACAGTGCCCCAGCAGGGCCACCTATAGCCCTACAGCGTGGCCCTCGTATGGCTCTTGTCACAGGAAGCCACACTTCCAGCGTTGGTGGCCCTCTTGCCACGGTGGACTTTCCAGAAGCCACCAAACAGTCTTTCTGTCTTTTTTTTTTTTTAAGCAACTCCGACGCCCAAACTTTCTTTCTTTTCTTTTTTTTAAATCCCTACTTCACTCTGTAATAATTTATTGACGTCCTGAACCAACCCTGTGCTCCCTACGCTGCTCCTTCAGACATCTTCTCAACGCCAAATCCCCGTTCCTCCCTCAGTAGCACAACCAAGTGAGGGGCAGGCCGCTTTAAACCTGTTTGTTCCCCAAGAACTCCTCCAGAAAACTGGTTTTGCTCACAAAATTTGCAAAAGAAAAAAAAAAAAACAACAACAAAAAAAACAGCCAACAAAATGGATTCTGGCTGGGACTACGGGCCCGGAGCCAGGCTCATGCCGTCCCCACAGCCCTCAATGCCCCCCCCCGGCACCCCCTCGAGAACTCAGCCCCAAAGGGAGCTCTGTGCCCCCCTAACAGCGGCCCCCAGGCACCCCCACGGGGCTGAGCGGCGTCCGCAGACCCACTACGTCCAACCTCGTCCCCCCCCTTGCCTCAGTTTCCCCCCGAGGCCTCAGCCCCGCCCCCAGGCCCCGCGGCCGCCTCACGACGCAGCTCCGAGGGCCGGGCCCCGTTAGGCCCCCATCCCCCGGGCACCCGGCCGAGGCCTCTCGAGCGCTGTCTCCCACCGCGATAGGGCTATGCTGAGCGGAGAGGCGGCCCAGGTAACGCCGAGGCTCCCCCTAGGCCGCCCCCGCCATGCCCGGCCCCGCGCTCCCTCCCCTCACGGCCGGGCCTCGCTCGGCGCCGCCATGTTGGCTCCGTCCGCTCCTCTCCCCGCTTGCAGGCGGCTGACGGAGCGACGTCACTTCCGGCGCGACGTCACATTCCGGGCTCCCCTCCCTCTTCAAGCCCCGCCCACATCCGGGCCACGCTCACCTCACCGCCTTCACGCCCGTAGGGACAGACGGGCGGCGCGGAGCCATATTGGATATGGGCAAGAGAGCGAGCACTTCCGGAGCGCGGGGCGTCGGCTTCATTGCTATTTCGGAGCATGTGGCGCTGCCGCCATGTTGGGTGAGGGCGGGAGGGGTGTGAGGAGGCTCCGCCATCTTGAGTGGGGACAGAGGGACAGAGAGGGGACAGCGAAGGGATGGGAGGGGATCACGGGAGTAACGAGAGGGGAGAGTCTCAGTTTTTGGGGAGGCCTTTGGGGCGTGGGGGTGAGATGTGGGGAACGGAGACCATTTGGGGTAGGGAAGGGCTGGCCCTGGGGGCAGGGCGGGGGCTGAGAACTGGGAGGGCCCCACGAAGGCCTCATTTCACTTCAGGGCTTTTTTATTTGGGGGGGGGGGATTAGGGCAACCCCCCCGGTAATTAGCTGCGCTAATTGTCCCACGCGCTGCGTGGGCAGCTGATGGCAGAGTGCCTGCTGGGCGCTGCCAGGCACCAGCTGCAATTAGCGGTAACGAAGGGCAGAAGGGCACGTGCGGCCTTAATGGGGGAGGAAGCTGTCCCCAAAGGGATCGGAGCTGCCACTGTCCCCGTGGGCGGCCCTGTCCCCGATGTGGCTGTCCCCTCTCTGTCCCTCTGTCCCCACCCGTCCTGCAGGTGACCCCGACCCCAGCTGTGGTCCTGTCCTCAAAGATGGATCTGCCCACCACAAGTGTGGCCGCGTCCCCAAAGGCAGCCAGCTCTCCAAATGTAGCCCTGTCCCCAAGAAGGGTGGCCCTGTCCCCAAAGAAAGCCACGTCCCTAAGCACGTTCCTGTCCCCAAAGGTGTCTCTGACCCTAAGGATGGCTCTGTCCCCGAAGAGTGGCCACGGCCCCTCAGGTGGTCCTGTCCCCAGGGTTAGGGGCACATTCCTGTCCCCAAAGGTGTCTCTGACCCTAAGGATGGCTCTGTCCCCAAGAGTGGCCACGGCCCCTCAGGTGGTCCTGTCCCCAGGGTTAGGGCCACATCCCTGAGCCAGGTCCCTAAAAGTAGCCCTAACCCCGGGGATGGCCCTGTACCCGAAGGTGGCCTTGTCCCCGAGGACAGCTCTGTCAGAAGTGTCCCCGTCCCCAGGAGTGCCACGACGAGGAGGGATGCGCTTTCAGGTGACACA